GGAAATTGAAAAATACATTATCATAAGAAATTCATTTTTTTCCCTAAGGTACCAGAAAGAAAGTTCAGATTTAATTAATTAGAATCTACACCAGGAAGAAGGTTTTAATAAGGGGACACTTCGACACACCAGGTAAAAGGCACGGGTGCAGTGACTAACTATTGGAATTGTGAAAATTAGCTACAGACAAGTCAAACTGTGACAGGAAAGCTGTTGGCAAACTAACCCACTGAAGACTGAGATGGATTCTCAACTCTACGTATTAATACCCATATAAACTGCCTTTCTAGAAGAAACTCTAATTAGAGCACAGCAACTGTCCTACAGTTAGCTAATGATGAGAAGTAACGTTGTATGAGATACGTGATACCAGATTAAAAGCAAAAAAGGCAAAGCCACTGTAGCGACTTCCCAACAGTCTTGTAGCCAGGTATTTTACGTACTTTTAGACTGGGAACATAAAAAAAGGAAAGTGACACACCTTAAAAAAAAAAAATGACACCACTACCACCACATTAATATAAGACCTTATAGTTTTCTCTGCAAGTATGTGTACTAGAGGGGAAGGGAGGCGTTCCCATGGAGTTCGTGGATTTTAGCTACCAGTAACAGCGACTTCCAGAACCAGAGCAGTCTCTAGCCACCAAGATACCCTACAGGTTCTTCTCTCTCTTGTCTTAACGCCTACCCTACCTCTACTGGTTTCAAATCCCAGCCTTTCACTCCTTTATCTCTGCAGCCCTTCTCACATACACTTCTGCTCTACCCAGTAGGGAAACACCGCGTTCCCCCCCGGGCCAGCTCCTTGCCCTCCCCGCACCTTCACCTCTCGCCTCGCCCCCACCCCCCAGGAACCTTCCCATCCTCGCCCACACTCCCCACTGCCCTCTGTGCCCTCCTCGCAGACCCCACAGCAATATTACAGCCTGTGCGCTCCCAGTGCTTCGGCGGCAGAGCATTACTTACTACAATTCTTGAACTTTTTAAAATTCTTTTAACCTTCCTCACGAGCCTCCCTTCCCTAAGGGCAGAGGCCAGGCCGAGAGCCGCGGGGCTCGCAGCAGGCCCGTGCGCCCCGGGCTCGGCCAGCACCCGGGCAGGGCCCGTCCCCTGTCCCTCTTCTTCTTTTTCTTCTTCTTTTTTCTCTTCCTCTTTCTCCTTTTCCTCCCTTTTTCCCCCTCGCCCCCGCCCCGCCGCTTACTGTCCAGGTAGTGCTCCAGGTACATCCCCGCCGCCATCTTGCGCCCCCCACACACCGCCACTTCCGGCAGCCGGCGCGTCCCCACCGGAAGCGGCCCTTGCCCGGCTCCTGAAGCCGCTTCCGCCCTGACTCCGGGACGCTTGGCGCCCGCCGCCATTTTGGGCCCTGAGGGGCGGTCTGGGGGGGGGGGGGGGGACCTGCGTCCTTCACCGCCGGCCTTCGGGGGTGCCCCCTGGCCTCGGGTAATTTGCAGGAGGCTGGCTAGGCACTTCTGCTGGATAATGTGGGTGGGGAGGTGCTGTTAGTCCGTTACAGCACTGTCTGCGTCCATTTACTGCGTTGCCAGCTGCGACAAACTGCTGGGATATCATAACCAGAGGTGGTCTTTGCGCTGAGGTGGTTGGGGTACGGGCTCGACATGCCTAACAAACCAATAAACCCATGAAGTGAAGCTCAACGTCTACTGTCTCTCTTTTTTTTTTTTTTTTTTTTTTCCTCCATCTAAACAGAACCACTTCCATGGCCATACAGAATCACAGGATTTCTAGGTTGGAAGAGACCTCAAGATCATCGAGTCCAACCTCTGACCTAACACTAACAGTCCCCACTAAACCATATCCCTAAGTTCTACATCTAAACGTCTTTTAAAGACCTCCAGGGATGGTGACTCTACCACCTCCCTGGGCAGCCTGTTCCCAGTGCCTAACAACCCTTTCAGTAAAGAAGTTCTTCCTAACATCCAACCTAAAACTCCCCTGGTGCAACTTTAGCCCATTCCCTCTCGTCCTGTCACCAGGCACATGGGAGAACAGGCCAACCCCCACCTCTCTACAGCCTCCTTTAAGGTATCTGTAGAGAGCAATAAGGTCGCTCCTGAGCCTCCTCTTCTCTAGGCTGAACAACCCCAGCTCGCTCAGCCGCTCCTCGTAGGACTTGTTCTCCAGGCCCCTCACCAGCTTCGTCGCCCTTCTCTGGACCCGCTCAAGCACCTCGATGTCCTTCTTGTAGCGAGGGGCCCAAAACTGAACACAGTACTCGAGGTGCAGCCTCACCAGAGCTGAGTACAGGGGGACGATCACCTCCCTAGCCCTGCTGGCCACACTGCTTCTTATACACCACACATGGCTTCTAGATTAGAGATACACGTGCTATGGACTTCAGGAGCCCATCCCTAAGTGGTTCTCTGCTAGTGGTGGTACACACAAGGTGTTCTAGATCACAAATTTAATTATAAATAAACTGAGACAATTATCATCTTCTGGTCCTTAGGACCTAAATTCAGGATTGCTGTTCAGGAGGTCAGGGTTAATTTTGCGTGCCATAGTCGAGTTTGTATTTAGTAAACATTAAACTTCATCTGCATTTCTCCTGCCCACTCACTCACCTGTGTTGCTTTCTTTCCCCCGACTCTCCCAATAGACTGTATAATAACACTCATTGATCAGGATACCTTGGTGCTAGATGCTGTCCATGAGGAAAACTGACCAGGCTTCTTGTTCCTCCTAAAAGTTTCCAAGGCACCATACCAATATTTATTTATAGGGATGTTCTAGGATTAAGCCTTTTAGCAACCTGCAACCCGACTCTGAGAAGCTGTGATGAGAAATGAACTGCAACTGTCTGACTTACTGGCCATTTTGCTGATACACTGTTTGGTTAATTCACAGAACCTCTCTTTTCTGAAGATGCAAATAGTTCTGTTAGAATCACACAATCATTAAGCTTGGAAAAGACCTCCCAGACCTCACCTGCTCCAACCATCCCCCTACCACCAATGTCAGCCACTAAACCCTGTCCCTAAGCACCACATCCAACCTTTCCTTAAACACCCCCAGGGATGGTGACTCCACCACTTCCCCAGGCAACCTGTTCCACTGCCTGACTGCTCTTTCCAAGATGAAACGTCTCCTCATTTCCAACCTGAACCTCCCCCTGGTGCAACTTGAGGCCATTCCCTCTAGTCCTATCACTAGCTTCCTGTAAGAGGCTGACCCCCAGCTCCCCACACCTTCCTTTCAGGTAGCTGTAGACAGCAATAAGGTCTCCCCTGAGCCTCCTCTTCCCCAGACTAAACAACCCCAGTTCCCTCAGCCGCTCCTCACAGGACTTGTGTTCCAAGTGAGTTCCACCACCTTCATAGCCCTTCTCTGGACATGCTCCAGGGCCTCGATGTCCTTGTAGTGAGGGGCCCAAAACTGAACACAGTACCCAAGGTGCAGCCTCACCAGAGAGAGCACAGGGGGACGTTCACCCCCCTGGTCCTGCTGGCCACACTATTCCTGTTATAAGCCAGAACGCTGTTGGCCTTCTTGGCCACCTGGGCATACTGCCAGCTCATGTCTGGGCGAGCATTAACCATCACGTCCAGATCTTTTTCCTGTGCACAGCTTTCCAGACACTTGCCCCAAGCCTGTAGTGTTGCATGGGGTAATTAAAGTCATTAAAGTTACTCAATGTTTTTAATTATTCAAAAAACTTTCTTGTTCTTTAGTTCTGTTGCAAAGGAACTGGTTTCAGTTAAGCTAAACATTATTGTTAAACCTCGCTTTGTTTTTAAAGTACTTAAAAATTGTATAAATTGCCTTACACTCCTTAATTACGGAGAAGGATGTGGCTGTTACTTATAAAGTCTACATCCTCTGCCCTGTCACAACACTAACCCAGGCACCCCCAAATGCATTGTGTTGGGAGCTACTGTGCTGAATGGAGCTGATGTTAAGAAACAGGCATTCTTAGACATCACTGATTTGGTTAAGAGACTACCCGGGAATCTCAGTTTATCCTCCAAGTTAAGGCAGTAGAAACGGTTTCAGGAAAAGCTAGCTCCTGAGCTCTGAATCTAGAAGTTTTATTTTTTCTTGCTTTAAAAAGCTGAGGCACTGAGGTTCACGTGGAAGTATGTCTCCCCGGGTTCCAGGAGCAACCTGATTGGCCGATGAGGTGTTACCCCTGCAGGTATTTGGTGAGAAGCATGATATTTTTAAATGTTTCTACAGGTGAAAGCTGTAGCACTGACGCAGGAAGATGCTTCCTCGACTGGAATATGCTCTGGAGAAACGTGACTCCATCTAGCCCCACCCAGCCACATATATTGATCCTCATGTAACGACTTTAGGTAACAAAGCCACATCTGCTTAACTGCAAGGGATATTTCCACCCACACAGGAGTTTGCTACTTCAATTACATCATTTTGCTAGGTGATAAATACCTCCCAGTTTGGTGCAGGACCTGGCTGATCAGTGAGCGGAGACCTGTGCATCTCGCAGAGGGAAACTAAACAGCCTACTGAAGTCGTCTAGACTAGGTTCTCAGCCTTTATTGATCTACAGATGCCTGTGTATTTTCCCTTGGAAATGTGAACATCTGCATAAAATTTAAGCCTCCGGCTTTTCAGTTACCTTACAGACCTCTTTAAGTGTTCTCCAAGGGCCACAAGGTAGTCCGTGCTTGAGAGGGATTGTTACGCAGACCGCAGCAGTAGGCCTACAACTCCAAAGTTTCGTGTTTAGTTCCCTTTTTGCTGTAGAGGCACACATTCGACTCTTCTCTCTTTTACATTCTCAGTTCACAGGTCCCTGCTCTGCATTTCCTTCTCTTCAGAAAGGAGTAGACGTACCCACACTTCGTTCTCACAGACATCAGTTGAACTGGAGCACCTGCCCCCAAGGTGGTAAATCAGCTTTACATATGGAAGAGGATGCCAAATGCCCCATGGTATAGCTGTGTGCGTTCCAAAAACATATCCTAATTGAGCAGCAAAACTAGGCATAGACTCTAGTTCTTTGGCGTCATGATTTCTTTTCTTGTAGTTTTTTTTCTTTTTTTTTTTTTTTCCATTCATTACACAGACACTACATGAAATCGAAATGTTTGTTGGACCAAGTCACTACATCTCTCTAGAACTTCGGTGTCCTATACAGAAACAAGAAACCATGCACACAAATTTAATCTGTTGTACCTGGAATGACGATTGAACAGGTACCTATCATGTAGTTAATGAAATGTACAGAGCGATTTCAGTCTATGTTCTGAAACTGTACTAGTAAACTTGGGCATCTTTCAGGTACATCACCTGCAAAATATTAGAAGAAAATCCTAGACATGATATATAACCTTTAGTTGATACAAAGATGATAAAATAATAAAAATATAGAAGACAGGCAGGATCTCAATTATATTCTATATTATGAAGAAAGATGGAAGATGTAGACAAATTTGTGAAGTAATGAAAGATTACCAATTGTCCATGATATTTAGGAAGATGTTTAGTTCTACCCATCTACCCATAAAATATCCTAGAAGTTGCATAGCTAGAAGCTCACAATCAAGATTTAAAAGAATTATCTGGCAAGCAGATGGAAACAACGGGCTTTCCTTTCAGAAGAACTTTGGAGTTCGAATGCATCCCAGAAGACAAGTAAATACTTTCATTTAAAAATATTTGAAAAAGTAAGGGGGGCTATCCAGGTTGCTATAAGCCAGTTAACCTAACACTGATTTGGCAAAATCAGAGCGTAATCAATTTGGGTTACACTCAGCTAAAAAAGGAAACATAATGTTATTTGATCTAATTTAATGGAAAAGATCTCATTAAAAGAATTACGTATTCTTTTATGGCCATATAAATTTGGTGGTTCAAAATAGCTGTCTAGGACTAACATATCAAGACTTGCATCTGCATACTGCACAGCCTGGCTGTTCATAAGGGAAAATGAAAGGCAATAGGTAAGTGGTGGAGGATGGAGCTAAGCCTTACCATGAAATACCTAAACCAGCTTGACTTAATTTAGCTGTTTGGAAAGACGAATACAGTGGCTTGATCGTGGTCTGTAACTCATTACAAAAGAAAAAGATTCCTGATAGCAGAAGACTTTAATGTACTGAACACAGGCATAACAAGACCCTATGAAGTTAAAAAAGAAAGAAAAATAAGTAAAATAGAATGGTATTTTTAATGGCAGTGATAACCAACAAAAAATTTAATAATGGTTGATTAAACATAGAAGTCTTTAAATTATGAAAAGTCTTAAATCTTTCTTGAAGATTTAACTGAATGGTAGAGCAGCAATACTATCATTAGTCACAGCTGAGGTTCAGTTACTGTTTTGTGGGTGATTTTTCTAAATGATTTCCAGCCTACATGATGTTTCCTTTTAAAGCAGTGATTATTTGCAAAATCCAGCTTAGAACTGACAATGGATTCAGTAAAGACAAGAAGAAAAAGTGCTACCGCCTTCCAGCAGAGACTCAAGATGCAGCCGAACGCAGAACTCCAGAGTCAACGTAAGGTCTTGGGCACAGACACACAGGAACAAATGGATTGGCATCACAAAGAAAATGCATAGTTAAAGAATTCAGGGAGCTGAAGAGAAAGTAAAGAGAATATTCCATTCTTGTGAGTGGAAGTTAAATAATTGAACTGTTGTCACCTTGAGTGTACAAAGCTGAAAAGCTGCAGACTGTGGAACCCGCAGCTTCATCTCAGCAGGGGATAATTTTGTGTGGATGTTATATTCTGCATCCTGCAGGTAGAAACCATACTTTTAAAATCAGCTGAAGTACTTTATATGTGTTAAATAGCCTCAGAAATTTGAAGAGGAAGACCTGATACAAACAAGACAATGAGAACAAGGTATTTTCAATTATTTCTACACCACCAACAGGAGCCTGGGTAAACAGAGAAATAAGAATTTTTCATTGATGAGGGGGAAAAAAATAAATCCTGGAATAAAGTGGCACTTTTGAAACTCAATGGGAAAGTCCCTTAATAAAAATCATTGGTTTCTTCCTGGGCAATAGTAAAAGTTACAGGAACAGCGGCAAACTACACAAACACAAGCAATATCTTTGAAATAACTGGTAACAAAAGAATCATACAGCCTTAAATACATATAGATCCCCATGCTTGGTAACAGATTCCAAGAAGGGGAAGGATAGAAGACATTGAAAACAACACATCAAACAAGGTAAGGTGATTTCAAGCACCTTTAACACGTTTAAAAAAGAGAAAAAAAAAAAAAAAAAAAACACTGCAAGGAATTGTAACTTGCAAGACACACCCCAAGGAATCCAGCCAGTCAGCAAAATATACTTCCAATTTTTAAAACTAGTTTTCTCAATACAAGACACTGCACCCAAAACAGGTCAATTTTTCAGACTTTGAGGTGATGCATACAAGACAAGTTAAAATCATGAGCGGAAACTGGCAGCTTTGTCCTGTTCCTACTGAATACGGGCATGCGGAGGAAAGCCACAAGCAGTAATAAACCTGTCCTGTCTGTGCTTCTCAAAGCCAATTTCCAAAGTGAGCAAAACTGTAAACTGAGTTGCCCGTGAGAAAAAAAATGTAAAACGGAAAAATGTGAATGAAAACTATTACGAAAAAATTATTATATGGCCAAAAAAAGCTCAAATTCCACAATCAAGAGGGGGAAACTGGGTAAAAGCTTGTCCTGGGTTCAGTGAGAAAGTCTGTGAGCAAGAAGAAACAACTTAAAAAGAGAGAGAAAAGGCCGAAATGTAACACATTGAAAAGGGGAAGGCCAGACAGCAACTGACATAAATTAGGTATTATTAAATAGAGAAAACTGGTAAGGAAAGCTCTGCAGCTAGCAAAACTACAGATAATATGGATTTGGGAACTTTCATTCGTTTTTTAAAATAAAAAGTAAACAAATATTACTAATAGTACTGATCCATGCTAAATAAAAATGATTAAATTGCTAGTGACACAGAACAAGGACAATCAGTCAACAAAATATTTCTAATCCCATACTCAGAAAGAAACAGAGTGTGGCAGTAGTACGAAAATAGCAACTTCTCTCCAGTACCTTAGTATCAAAGTAGGAAGTTAGACAACATCTGCCGGGGACATATATTTTCAAGTCAGCAAACAAGCAGGAGTCTTTCCAGTTGACTAACAAGCTCTCCAGCCCATTGATTCTGATTTTCATTCAACTTGGGATATTAGAGAAATACCGTAAGACATTCAGTGACAGTATTCCCAAAAGGCAACTGAAATGATTCAACGTCAAAATTAGTCTGAGGCAAAAGAATGGAAGAGCTGTTGAGATGAAGAATGAATGAATGAAGAATAAAACCTATAATCCGAAGGTTTATGGAATATAGATTTTGTAGAGGATAAAAAGAAAAAAAAAGCCTAATTTCATTCTCTGAAGACATCATTATACATTTGGTTTAACAAAGGGGACTGCATAGGTGCAACATACTTAAATTTTTGTAAGGCATTGACCTAGCACCGTAAGTCAAAAAGATTTACTGTACATAATCACATACTAAGAAGATTAAGAAACGACTACTAGCCTGCAAGTCTCAAAAAGAAGCTAATAAAAAGTTGCACTGAACGATGCTTTTCAAGTTAGTGTAGGTCAGATGCAACATAGCACTTTCAACCCGGATCCGAAAGTAAAAAGTAACAACTGATGCAGTTTGTGGTGGACAAAACGGACAGGGTGGTGCACAACCTGGACCATCGGCAAGCTGGGGCTGTTCACACACAATAGACTGATAGAGACTCACGTTCAGGAACCGGGAAGAACTTGGACCATGCCTGCAGAAAGGGGGCAAACACTATCATGGGAAGCTGAGACTTTGATCTGGGAGTCACACCAGTGAGCAGCTAATGTGAGCTCCAGTAAAACGCTGCAAGAAACGGGCAAACGCAGTCCTCTACAGGCTTAAGGCAAAGGGCAGGGCAACCTTGTCCACGGCCACGGGGCTTCAACACTTAATTCTGACACGAACGCGTCTACAAGATATTGAAGGATCTGCCAAGATGTAGAAATAACAGACGAGAGTGATTCACAGGCTGGAGGAAATCCCTTACAGTGGAAGACTGAAGGAGTTTTCATCCATTTAGCTTCTCAAAGAGTAGATGAGGAGGTGCTATTACAGTGTTTAAACACCAGACCAGGGGAGAAAGCCCCACTGTGCTCTGTGGGTCTCTGAATCGGTGGGATGGACAGACCTGAACTAGTAACTAGAAGCCAAAGCCAAACAAATCCAGAAGTGAAATTGGGCTTGGGTATTTTAAAGCCAGAACACAAAGCCCTAGCAGCAGGCCGCCAACGGAAGGGGTTCGCTGTGTCCCCGTGCCTCAAAATCAAGCCAACCCATTTCGGGAACACGTACTTCAAACGCACGTTAGTCACCGAGGCTTAGAACAGGACAGATGGATTGAAACGTCGCCTGGAAAACGCGGGAGGAAGAGGGCTTCTCCCAGCCTAATATGTGAACCTAAAAAACCAATTCAACCCCTCGCAGCCAACCCTGCCGAGTAAGCGCAGAGCACCAGCTCTCCCCGCGGGCTGTGCAGCTGCAGAGCTCCCCTTCCACCCTGCAAACCACCAGGCTGCCCGAGGGCAGGGCTGCGCCGCGCCGCTCGCGCTCCCGCAGCCCATCCAGGACGCTCCTGCCGCGTTTCGGTGCATGGGGAAGGAAGACACGGCACAGGGGCAGGGTGCCCGCAGCAGCACCTCCAGGGAGCCTTTTACACCAATTTATTTCTACACAGGGTGGTTAAAAAAAATAATAATAAAAGCCCCTACCAGTTGTTCATACATAAGTCTGGGATTCTATAGGGTTTGAGTGCAACACATGCTTTTTTTCCCTTGCCTTCTCGTTCTCTTCCCAGTCAGCCTCCATGATCCAAAGAAACTAAGAAGTGACACACAAGACTAGTAGTCATGTGGACCAAAAAAAAAAAAAAAAGAGGGGGAGGGAATCTGAAGACGAAGAGAGAGGGAAAAACAAACAAAGATTGAAAATAAAAATTCGCCAGGATAATGCGTTTTATAAACACAGAGATAGAAACAGTTACAGCAAGGACAGAGCGGGCCAGGGGCGGGGAATAGATATTTATATATATATATATATATAAATTCAAGGGGCCTTCAGTTTATTCTTTTTGGCTCCCCCTTCTCATTAGATTGGTCTCTCTGTGGGGATCTTCGCCCCTTTCTCTCCACTGTCCGCCTTTTGGGGATTCTCTCCCACGCTCAGGGTCCAGAAGAGGCCACCACTGCCACGTGAGTCCAGCCCGTCTTGGCAAGAGGGAGCCCGGGAGAGCGCTCGGATGGGAGGTGAGCAGAGAAGCTAGCCTTGCCCTGACACCTGCCGGCTCCTCGAAAAGCCTGGGCTATTCCTCCTCCTCCTTCCCTTTGGGAAACTGGGGGCAGGACAGGTGTGGAAGAGTCAGAACTGCTGCTGTTCCGCCTTTCGGGGAAGGAAGTAGAGAGAAGGGTGATGGTTATTTTGGCAGTCTCTTCCCCTCCCCTCCATTGCTTTTTTGGTTTGTTCTCGATGCCTGCAGGCTTTTCTGAGGAGGTGGGGGGGGAGGAGGGGGGAAGTAGGGGGGAGAGGAGGAGAAGTACAAGCTGCTAGGACATCATCCACAATGGGCAGGAAGAGCAATGAGCAGGAACCCACATTCCTACGGGGCCTTGGCCGTCACGCTGCTCAGACAGCCAGGAGAGGCGGCAGCCCCTTCGGCCAGACTCCTCTCTCTATTGCTCTCCGCCAGGGGAGAAGGAAGAGTGCAACGCTCCAGAGCCCTCGGGCAGCGTGGGCACCTGTCCAGCCCAGAGAACACGCCTCACCTCTCCCCCACACCGGTTGCACCTTCCGCTGGGGAGAAGGCTTCTCCCATCCGGTCCTTGGGGCAGGACAAGCGACCCCTCCTCCCTTTCGCAAGCAGGAGGGACAGGAATGGATATTTCTCTCTTAGACAACTCAAGGAAATCCTCAAAAATACCCATCCGGCTGTGACCCCCTGCCACGTTCTTCTGCGGCCCGCTGAAAACGTGTCCGAGCCCCTGTCTGTACAAGGCCCAGCTCTCCGTCCCATCACACCACGCACCTCTCAGCGCCTCCCCACCCCCTTCCCGCGCAGCCTACAGCGAGAGAGAGAAGGCAGAGCAGGGGCCTTTCTTTGGGATTGAAAGGAGGGGCTCTTGAGTGAGGAAGCGATCCCGGCACAGGAAGGGGGCTCTTGCACAAGGAAGCATCCTCCTACCAGGCAGGCTGCTGCACAGAAGGAGCACCCCCTTGAGACAAGGCTGTCGTTCAAGGGGCTGCCACGAACGGGGTTTACACGGCCAAGAAGAGGCTGCTGCAGGAGGAGAGGCCGGAGGCTGTTGCACGAGGAGGGCCGCTGCACAAGCGGTGCCCCGGGCGCAGGCTATGCACAAGAGGCTTTTCTGCTCCCTGGGTTGAGGTCTCTCTAGGAGCTGGAGAGGTGCTCCACTTGGATGGCGCTGGTGCTGACAGTGAGGCAGATGTCCTTGTGATGCTCTGAAGTCTTGTAAGGAGTCAGGTCAAAGGAGCACTGAGGGGGAGGGTTGGGTGGGTTAGTGTCTCCAGAAGGGCCCCCTGCTGCCCCACCCCCCTGCGGCTGGAAGTGCTGCTGCTGCTGAGAGGCCTGGGCTTGTTGGGCCTGAACCACCTGCTGCTGGGGGTCCGGGATGTTGTGTTTCCGCATGTGCTTCATCAGGTACGTCTCCTGCAACGGGAAGGAGGCGTGAGAGGAGGGGACGGCTTCCACCAAGGCCAAAGCCCGTGGGGACCCCAAGGACGGACTCCCCGAGGAGCACTTCCACCTCTGCCACCCCCCCCAGGGGAGGAAATACTCACCGAGGTGTAGGCCCGGCTGCAGATGGAGCAGGTGTAGACCTTGGCGTGTTTCACCGTGTGCGTAGCCAGGTGCACCTCCAACGAGGCGGCATCCGTGTACGCGCGGTGGCAGTTGTGGCACTTGAAAGGTTTGTCTTTGTTGTGCTGCCGTCTGTGGGACTGGGGGCGGCAGTGGGGTGGGAAAAGAGAGAAGACAAGAAGGGTTAGGAAGCGAATATGGACACTGGAGGCTGCCTTACCTCTAACACTCCCTTCCCACCAGGCTCCAAGTTCCCTAAGCCCCAGGATGCCGAGCAAGGGACACCTGGCTCCTAGAGCGGGATGGTGATTTCCCCCCCAGTCCACCAGAGCTTTCTGAGCCTTATTTTCTCATCCCTATTAGGCATTTGAAGAGCAGAGTCTCTCAACTCTCCGCAATCCCCACCTTCTCAGTCTCCATGCAACTCTTCCAGTCTCCCCCCGCGCCCTTTCTACCTCTCTTCACATTTACTCTCCACATCTGTCAACTCTCAAGGCAGGATCTTAAACTGCTCACAGGCGTTTACAGCTTTTTGCCAGTTGGCATTTCCTACAGTCCCCCTCCTCCAGGATATCGCAACAGGAGGCACCACCTCTGCTTCCCTAAATCCCTACTCTTACGTCCCCCATTTCATTATAAAACAAAACCACCTATTCCTGAGATTTTATCCCACATGTGAGATTTAGGAAAAGCCTTACCCCAGCTATGTTAGAAAACGTCTGCAGAACAGATCAGAGGAACTCCAACAAGCTATCACCACTTGCAAGTCAATCTTACAATTCTACAGCATGTAACTACTTCTGTGACTTATTTGGGTCACTGTTGCCACCAATCTCTCCCCTGTCCAGCCCTTCAACACCTTTTCTGCATTCCTTCACTCCTCCTCCCAGCTGCCCCAGTTTTTCCAAACCCTCCCACTCGCCATCCATATTTGCCACCCCCCCTGTCGAGCAGGGCCTGCCCAGCCCCTTACCTGCAGGTTGGAAAGCTGGGTGAAAGCCTTTTCACACCCAGGGTGAGCACATTTGTAGGGTCGGTCCCCGGTGTGGATGCTGTCGAGGGGGAAGAGCACAAACAGGAGGCAGTGAGCAAACAGGCAGCGCAGACCGCCGGGGCCTGATGCTGTGATGCAATCTCACAGCCGCTCAGCAGCGCGGGGAAGGGGGTGACAGTGCCGCCAGATGCTGTTCTACCTGGACAAAGAGAGCTCTGCCCAGCTCCTGTGTCCAGCTAGAAGTTAGAAAAGATGTGCCATCAAGCAGAGTTCAGAACGTGACTAGGACTGAGGAGCAAGAGCTTATGAATGCCTGATCAGCTTGGCACGAGGGTCACCTAAGAATGGCAGGGGGTCTGCTGGCCCCGACTCCCTGCTCCAAGCTCAGGAGGCCCACGCTGTGACCAAGAGGAATTCATTCTCTTGCTTGCACAGCACCGAGAAAACAGCTCTGTTCCTTCTCCGGACACGCATGACAACAGCCTTCCTCCCTTCACGCTAGCGGGGAAACGTGTTCACGTGTCCCTGTCCCCCTGCAATGCCAGGACAAGCTTCCACACGCTCAGTCCAACCCCCGTGGTGGTGCCAGGATCCCTCACGGCCAATGCCTCTCTCTCCATCACTCTCTCTCTCTCTGTGCCCCCCGCGGTGCCAGACCAAGGCTCCCCCGGGACAGCACGTGCCCACCTCTGCCCTGCCGTGTGCTCAGTGCCTCCTGCGCAGCCTCCACTCCGTCCACTCTGCTGGGCCACCTCCTCCTGGGGGTGCAGCCGGCCGCGCTCCCCGCCCGCCCCCCGCATGCTTGGCGCGCGTGCTCCACAGGGTGCATGCCGGCAGCGCGGGGGGGCCAGGGCCAGGCCCCCGGCCTCCTCTGGCCCTTACCGTGTGTGCTGCTGCAGGTGGGAGAGCTGGCGGAAGGCCTTCTGGCAGTAGCGGCAGGTGTAGGGCTTGGCCCCCGAGTGGATGCGGAGGTGCTGGGCCAGGTAGGAGGTGTTGGCGAAGCTCTTGGAGCAGTGAGGACACTTGTGGGGCTTGACAATCGCCGTGTGGAGCTTGGAGTGGATCCTGCCGAAGAGGAGGAGGAGCAGCAGCAGTTGGACACGACCGCCATCTGGCTAGTGCTGATGGAATGAGGGCACAAAGGGGGTGGGACAGCACCACGCTATCTGCTACACGGAGGAGCTCCACACACGGCCCGAGCTCGGAGCTCGCTCGGCCTCAAACCGTGCTCCCCGTGGATTCAAGAGACCATGGTCTGTCCGCACCGGGGGAGGATCCAGAGAGAGGAACTCTAGAGTTTGGACTGAGGGGCATTGGCAGAGCTGTGTGGGAAGCCTATGGCTGAAATAGCAGGGGGCTGCAAGCCTGGACTGAGACGTTTGGCAGGACTAGGCTGGGGTGACAGGGAACAGTCCTCCTATGCCCAACTCTACGCTCGTGCTGACAAAGCCAGTGCTACCTTCTGTCCGAAAACACCGCTCCGCTGCAGACGCCCCTTAGAGTCGGCAGCGCGAACCTCTGCGCACACCCAGCCCCGCACAGGAAATGACAAGCACTACGTGTCAGATACCGCTTTGTTTTCTGTCTGAGGCGTGACCAGCCCGCGGAAAACAGCAGGGTCTCCCCAGGCGGTCACCCGCTCGAGGTGCTGACGGCATGCTGGGATGACGGCAACATGCAGTGCGGAGGGCCCCCAGCCTCCTCTGGCCCTTACCGTGTGTGCTGCTGCAGGTGGGAGAGCTGGCGGAAGGCCTTCTGGCAGTAGCTGCACGTGTAGGGCTTGGCCCCTGAGTGGATGCGAATGTGCTGGGCCAGGTAGGAGCTGTTGGCGAAGCTCTTGGAGCAGTGAGGACACTTGTGTGGCTTTGTCTCCGTATGGGACTTGGAGTGGATCTGCATCTCCGACTTGGAGTAGAAGGTCAGCGAACACATCCGGCACCTGGGACCGGGGCGAGGGGAAGAGACAGCGTCACACGGGGCGAGCCCCAATATCTAGCAGCTCTAAGTGGAAGGGGTCTTCCACGCTGAGTGAGTAAAGGAGAGTTTCTGACCATGCGGACCAGGGGAAGTTTCGCCTCGGCCACTATGCTCAGCTGCAAGTACTCCGGTCCCAGAGGGACAAACCTAAGCTAGGAATGGGCAGGAAAGACCAGGCTTATACCTTGCAGCCACACAAGGAAAGGTCTTGGAAGAATCCGAGAGATTAATTTATCAGGCTTACAAGGGAGACAGGGTAGCACTTGGGAAATTTTCCAAGGGCAATCTGAAGGGGACAGGAATAAGAATTCCCAGACAAAAAACACTTTGTTCATCTATGATTTATTTCAGTCAAAAAAAAAGTTGGAAAACCTGAAAATCCAGGTTAAGGTGTGTCTTCATAATAAAAGTTAATTCCACGTACTGCAAAGTCTGCAAAAGCAGTTATGACCAAAACACTTAACTCTGCTCCCGTTTTTGGGGAAGACATTCACGTATTTGAAGGCAATGCTGGAAATAACAGGGCTGCTTTCCTAGTGGGTCTCACAAAGATGCTCTGAGAACGTAATCAGCTATTTCACTGGTTTAATTGGCTTTCACCAATTCTATCTTACTGATGTTTTACAATGTTTTGTCTAGGAGCTTGGACCCATCTGTTCCCATGAAGATCAGAAACATATTTGGTAACACAGATTCTTCGAACAGGAAGAAGCAGTTGGCATTATCTGCTATGGATGTTGCTGTTAAAAACTGTTCCTCCGTCATGACACCGGGTTGTTGGGAGAAGCCTGCGCTGCTGTACAATTCAGGATGGTAAAAGATTTTGTCTCTCTGTCATTTTAACCACAGAGGTTGCACCCATTGCTGGCCTTTTTTTTTTTCCTTCCAAAAATGTGTGACAACAAGGAGCAGAGTTAAAGTTTCTCTGAATTTAAGTCCTTCCATGTGCAGGCTTTTCCATTGAACAAGACAAAATGGAAGCTGCACTTGGAACTTCCAGGGTCACATCTGAGGGAACAATGCCACCTAGGAGACCTCTGTTCTGCCTGCTGTGGTGTGTCGATTATGTTTTTGTCTGGGAATTTCCTTAAGTTTTATCAGTGTTTAAAAAAAAGATACCCAGTGACAAAAGTCTCTGCAAGTACTACACACCACAGAGAGCTTATCCTGTTTGTGCCCACATTCAGCTATTTCTTTTTCCTCCTAGGAGGATACATCATTACATCTACTGTTGCGGCTATTGATGTTGGAGCCAGAAGCTTTTAGGAAGTGTGCAGTCTAATTGGTGTATGTAATGTAGGCAACATTTATCCAGCACCTACCTTAACTTCCACAGGCCCTTCAAAGCCACAGCTTGATTTTGAGCCATGTAACTGGAAGCAGTGCCTCCCTACCAAGCACCCTACCACACACCTGCCACAACATTGTTCCTCCTCCTTTACATTCATGATCACCTCTAACAGTTGCTTCTGCATTTTCTACCTTCATCTTTCTCTTACTCCCTTTTAATTGCACACCTGAACACAACGCACAAGCTAAACATGCCCTTACGTAGCTCCCCGCTCACACATACACAGCTCCTGCCTGGAACCAAGGAGCAGAAGCAATTTGGCTGTTTATCCCTAGGTCTGCTAGAGATACAGGGAGTAGGAAGGCACATCGGGATCACCTTTTAGAAAAAGCAGCTTTTGGTTTATAAACCCAATTATCTCCAAACACTTGTCCAGTTTGCTCCAGACTTTCTGAAACAGGACAGCTGGACTTGAAGACAGCATACGCATTTTGCAGTTATCAAGTCATACTTAGAGGCTGAGGACTGTATCCTTGAACAAAGCAATGCTAGAAAGAACTTCAGTGAACGTTGAACTGAAAGTACCACTGAGTTACCAAGTCCAGTTCTCTGCTAACGCAAGGAATTAATTCACAACCCCATGCGTGACTCTATCAAGCTCCCTCTCAGAGGATGTTTATTGCCAGTATTCTCAGCTGAAGCCTGTTCCACTGTGTCACTCCTCTGATGATGAATCATTCAATTGAGAACAAGCTCCCAGTGCGATGTTGTGCTAATACGGCTAAATGAATCAAAGGGGAATAGCAGGTATCAGCTCTCGAAGTGGGAATGGGGCAACTACTCTTGCAGCAGCATGCCTGACGCTGAAGACTGTACAGTCAACAAGTACTGAGAGATCCAGGCAAGTTCAGAGAGCTTGGGAACGATGGCGTGTGGAAAATCTACTTCACAGAAGAGACTCACTGAGCCCAGTCTATCTAGGTTTGGTTTGGGGGAAAGGTTAAAAGATAGCTTGGTCAATAACCACATAAATCTACGCAGGGGGAAAAAAAATCAATGACTGTGGGCTTGGTTTATGCAGCAAAGGTACCATGAGATACAGTAGCCGACAGTATGAGCTCAAGAAATCCAAGAAACAAAATCATTCCAACCATGAGAAAAATGCATCTTTGGCACAACTCCGAGGCTGCGTTACAATCTCAACCACTTGGCACCTACAATTAATATTTTTAGAATTCAGCTACCCGTCAGTGAGTAATACCTTTCTAGAAGTTTTGCTTGAGCTCCAACGCAATGCTGGGCACTAATCTCTTCTGTGCTGTACGCATGACCATAGATTTTAAAAGTCTATTCCTTTTTGAAAAATTCATGATCTTTACTATGTCATCAAGTCTAAGCAGTCCAGCCCCTTAAGTCTGTAATGACATAAAGCCATCTACTTTATTTTCCATAATAGCTGTGCACCAATTCCTTTACTTATTTACTTTGTTAGGTATCTGCCTTCAGGGCAGAATTTCCCTAGAATAAACTTTAATGAAAAGAGAAAGACTGAACGTCCTTCTCCATTTTCAAAGTAAACATATAAAAAAAGGTATTTCAAAACCTCTCTGGCACCTGCATGAGAATGGGAGATAAATCTGAGTGTTAGAAACAAAACAAACAAACAAACCAGAAAATAAGAAGAAAACAAAACCCATCAAACAAGAAACCAACCCTAGCTGTCTGAATTTAGCAGCTGCAGACATTTCAGCAGTGTTTTTCAAGCAACATTTTAAAAAAATAATCTTGCAGGGACTCGTTTTCCAATAATCTAACGAGCATTAGCCCTGAGAGGGCACGAATGTTATGTAGCATTAACAAAGTCATAAGTCTTGTAAGTTAAAAGAGCCCTGGAATACAGCAGAAAGCTGCACTTCAGAGAGTTCTGTATGATGTGGTAGCAGGCATTTTCAATGGAACAAATGATCCATTTAATTAAGGGTTTTGCATTTTGCCTCAGACATCATCAAATATTAAAGGGGAAGATGCAATCAGCCCTCTAGTGGGTAAACATGGATTCAAAAAAAATGTTAAAATCTATACGGATAATGAGAACATCGCATCTGACACTCGCAAGGCTTCAGTGTTTCATTTCAGTGAATTTTTCCTTGCTGGGGATAGGAAAAGTTGGCAGCGCCGCCTGCTAAACATGAACATAGTGCTATGCGAAATAATCTGTTGTTGTTTGTTGTTAATAAACATTTTTGATCTTTTTTTTTCCCCCATCGTGCTTCTAAACTACTACCACTGCCATTGTATTCGGAGAGCACGTAACAGCACTGACTGCAGCATTCCCATTGAGAGCATTATACAACATCCCTACAACTGTTTGTTATGGCTCTGCAAATTTAGCTTAGAGCATATTCTTAACCACGCAGAGGTGTATTTCTCCATATAAATAGTTAACTCCATACGCAGCAACGTGCTGGAGATCAAAAGCAACCCCTTCCAGTGTTTATAATCCTTTCTTTTTATAAGGAATCTACAGAAATAAAGCGAGACGTTAAAAGAATGTGCATGTTAAGACAAACACCCTCAAAAATCATGAAATGCCAGTAAAAGGTGGATGCACAATTCTAATTCTGCACCCATATGAAAGTCATCACGATGAGTCATAAACAAAATTATGCTTATAGCAACCAGACTACAACTCGGAGGCGCACGGGGCCTTTTTTTTCTTTCCACTTTTCATGGAATGTTCCGCCTCATTCATCAGATGCTGTTATGAGATAAAATGCCATCTGAAATACCATCTCATAGTAAAATTTGCCTAACGTGGATTAACAGCATTTTTTCAATCAAGTGCTTAATTAATTGGTATCACAGTTGTGAAAACTATGCAAGCTTTTATACGCAGCCTCGAGGATTCAATTTCCTAGTATCCGCTGAGATTGGTCTTGAATTTAATTGAACCCTTGCTCCTTCTATTAGACTACAAACACTAGACCAACAAGGTTTTTTGTTTGCTTGTTTATAAAAAACCAACTAGTTTAACTTCCCGCCTTCCTGATCTAAGTTTAGGCTCTCCGAGTCAACAGATATTTAGCAGGGAAAGAAATGTACTGCCTTTGCAATGCAGAGTTAATGAAGTAACTAATGCAATCATAGCATAATAATGGATGCACAGCGCATGATAAATGCTGATTTAACCTTCAAACTCCCCGATTTTTTAAAGCTGGAGCTAAACATTTTCTTACTAATATTTCGTAAGTGGCAGAGGGAAGGAGACCAAACATTTAAGAGACACGGCTACAAAACTCGGATCAGACCTAAATAAAGCCTGAGTACAGAAATGCCAAAAGGACAGCATATGACAATTGTACCTCTGTTTCTCCAATTCTACACCAAATCACATTAAAAATTTAACATGCTACCATTTGCCACTTTACACTATTGACACATATACTAACAAATCTATCAGCTACACTGAGGGCTGAAGCTACTTATTTCCACACTCCTTCAGTCACTCGTGTGGTTGATAAGGCTACAGAAAACAAGTGTGCATCACGCTCTTGGCAAGGCGCTGAATATTTTTAACACCCTGTAGCATTTTTCCAGTTCTACTTTTCTGAGGGGTTTCCAATGTTTCGTCCATTTTTCAAAAGATCATTTGGAAAAACATCGGAACCAGAATTTTGTGGCATTTCAGCACGCTTCACAAGTTGCCTGCCTTCTTTTAATCACCTCAGCACTTGTGCTTTCAGCAATTGCATTTACCCTCTTTCATCACAGCCTCACACTGGGAGCTCACATGATGTCATTTAGTTCCTAAAAGTCCTTTTCATAGCCATTGCTTTCCAGGATACTGTTTCCTCATGACTATTATTCCTTATCTTTAGATCAAAGGTGTTCAACAGCAGCCAACAGGCCACTTTAGAGAATTACAGAATATCCCACATTGGAAGAGACCCACGAGGATCGTCAAGTCCAACTCCTGCTCCAATTCTATCCAGGCCTAATTGGATGGTTGTTTATATCGTGTCTGAGTATCTAGATTTCAATCCCTGACTCCGCTGGAGAAATCACACAGGGTTAATAAACCAAGAAACTAAGCCTTCCATTCAGCTGTAATAAATACACGTTTTGCTTGAACGGTTCTGGCTTCACCACCACACACAACTTCCCATTTTTTTCCCTTACCTATCCACCAGCACTGCCTCTACCTGTAAATTGTCAGCCAACATTTCCTGTTGATCTCCAAAATCACTGAACAACATCAAGCTTAAGACCTTCTCTACCAATTTCTGGTATCAGTCACTATTAGCAAGAGAGCAGCAAAACAATGAAATACAGCAAGGTGTTCCCTTGTGCAGTGATAATGCCTTGTGTTAAAATTGAAAGAGCACAAAAGAGCAAACACTAACAAATTTGGGAGTGCCAGAAGTTACGGTCATCTATGTCACCATAATTTGGCTCTGCAATGCAGGGACGTCCTGATACATCCTTATTGACTGTTCCCACACAACTGCATCCTTATCATGTTGCACAGGTAGATAGTTAACAAGCAAGCCTTAAGTACTCTTCATCACCACTGTGATGTGAACAGCCTCGAGCCTCATCAACCGCATGCAATTCCGACCTCAGCTGGCAGAATTTCTCCTCTGTTGGACCCCCACAGAAGTATCGGTGCTCCTCAGACAACAATTTATTTCCACAACACCCCTGTTTGCTTTATTTTTAAGGGGAGGGAGCAACACAAGACAGAGGAGTGAAAAACAATTAGGAGGATGTAATTCTGATGCCTGCAAACACTATTTTTCTTTTAAAAGAACTTCATGCTATTTACATTTAAATCACACCTCCTGAAAGTTCTGTGCTGCATATAAGCTCCAATGCTTCTGCAAAGCTAAACAGGATCCAACAGGTAGCAGAGGACTACTCTGTGACACTTGAAGGGATTATGGTTTTAGGAATACCAAACATTAATTACTTCAGGATAACTGTCTATGGTCATTCCTAGCCTGCAGCACATGCAAATCCACCGAAAGCTCAACCTAACCCATATATGCACAGGCTTCAAGGCATGATCATCTGTAGGCCTGAACCACATGGCTGTAGAATACTGTAGGAAATCCGTAGCAGAAGCAAACAGAGCCTACAGTTCCTCAGACTAGCAGTCAAATGCCTTCCCCAAATCATCCTTCCCTAGGCCACAACCCCAAGTCATTTTTACTTTATTTTTGACAAAATTATTCCTTTCTCTAAGTAGCTGTGCAGGACGCTGCCAGGCCAACACATATACAGTAACTGTAGTCACATAATCAAGGATGTATCCAAGTGCATTGACTCAACAGGGCCAAATTAAGGTGTGACCAGACAGATGAGTGACAGAAGAGTTCTGATGTTCTCTCTCTCCAGCTGAAACTGTAACAGGCCCTTCACTCCCTTGCATGTCAGTAGAATGGTTGTATGCAAGTAAAAAGCACTAAAATTAAAACTCATTTTAATTTTAGGGAGAGAACTTGCCATAAACCAAGCTTCCACCTTACTATATCCTGAGGCATACGGTCAGTCTCATTTCTAACTTTCAAGCACAGCACTCATATCCAAAGCAAAGCTCATGTGTGCGGTGTGTGTAGATATGGAAGTTCATGCACACCTGTCCTCCTTCGTTTTGAAATCATAAGCCAATTTCAACCAAAGCTAAAAAAAGGGGGAAGGGTTTTAAAGTCACTACGAGTTTCACAAGGATACGCAGCTGGGAAAGATGAGAGACCCTCATGGAGCCCCCTGCTGAGGGAAAGGCTAGGAAGCTCACCCTTGATTAGACATCAGAGAATCCACACAGGAGAGAGCCGCTGGAAACCAGGCTTCATTAGTTCCGCTGCTCACGGAACTACTTGTTAAAAAAAGCAAACAGAAATTCCAACATGTGGCATCGTCCCGACACCCACGTTGGTCATCAGCAATCTTAAGATCAGACCTCTGCCAGCAGAGCAAGGACAATCAGTGAGAGCAGTGCTAGTCTGACACCTTTCGCTAGCATTAGAGGGGGGCGAGGCTCTGTGCCGGAGGAGGGCACGTTCTCGTGCTGACAGCAGACACACGGCCAAATTTAGGAGCATTGGATTTAGTATTTCTAGGCTTTGGAGGGAATGTGGTCAAACTTTCTGCCTGCTACTTCAAACTTTATTCTCCCCTTGCCCCTAGCCTTCCAGCCTCTTGCAATCCCCTCTCTCCTGCACCAAGACCCAGTCCCACATGCCCCACTTCATCCTCCACTGCAGTGCAAATTCAAAGTTTCCTTCTTATAGTTCACATTTGTGTCCTCTCCTTCATATTTCTATTTGTCTGTGCACATCCCATGCTCCTGTCCCCATCTGTTCCACTAATTCTAGATACCCATCCATTTTCATTTTCCAGCCCCTAGTAGATCTGCTCTTTCTCCATCTCCTCAGTCTTGGCCCTTCCCAGCTTCTCTGTCCCCTCTCCCTTGCAAGCAGGCTCTCCACCATCCCCTCTGGTTTGTAGGCTCATCTTTTCTTCTCCCTCCTTTCTGTTCCCATCTCTGCTCTGCCGACTTCCTAGACTTCCTAGACACAATGAGCTCTAGGTGCTAGCCATACCCTCACTCTCATCCCTACTGCCTTTGAATCAAGCCTTCTTTCACCTTGCCGCTGTGCCCAGGGGAGGGGGAAGGTTCCTGTGAACATGGGCAGCAGGACTCCCTTCTGAAGCAGAACGAGGAGTTGTGGCTGAAGGAAAAAACGTGCTTGGCCCTTCAGCATTAGGAGATGCCTGGAGGTCAGAGTGTTTTTGGTTCCTCCGTGGAGATGGACAGGCTGGTCAGTGCCCGGAGTCATGCAAGCCTCAAGTAACACCAAAGAGGATCTAACAGCCTTGCCTATTTCTGCTACTGAAGTATAAAGCGTCTCAAAGCATGCTTAACAGATTTTTTTTTCAAAGCTTACAACTTGGCCAAATTTGGCCACGTTTTAACAGATATTTGTGGCTTAGAAAAAGCCATAATCACCTGACTTCAAATCCAGGAAAAAAAATAAAATCAGAAAGTCACTGAAGAGCAACATTAAATCCAGTATAGAGCAAGGAAAAAAAAGGCTGACAATGAGCTAAGAACATGCCCACGTGCTGTATTCAAGCCACTGGCTCCTCTTGTGTCCCTAATTTCCTCCTTAACAGGTCCTCTGCCTGGCTTTTCCCCCCTCCACAGCTCACTGATCTTTGTTTCTTGCTAAGCCTTCCATGGCTTCTGCACACTTTTTCTCCCTGGGACACACCACAGAAGCGTACGTCCCTTAGCTGCTTGCTGTTTTCCAAACCAGAACACCCTGATGTGCCCACAGCCTACTGCAAGGAAGGGAACTCACAACTGAAGGTGGAAATGGAGCTCGCTGGTTACAGTATCACAGCAAGGACTTCTCAAGGCAACAACTTTTCTCTGGGTGTACTAGGTTCAGAGGCATAGCTTGCAAAGCCATTCCAGATTCAGATCGGGAGCTTTTACAAACTCAGTGTTGCCACCAAGCAACACATGAAGAGCTCTCTTCCTCTTGCAAATACAAGATCAAACTATCTGGAGAATTGTACTCTGAGACAGAATGGATGATCTGGAACAGATAAGCTGAGCCATTTAATCAGCCTCGTCTAACACATCACACCACAAGCTTCAAGAAGCGCGTAGGTACAAGCACAACAGTCCTAAGAAATGACCCTACTGCCTCCAGGATTCATGCTCTCTCTCTCTCTCCCTCAGCATGTTTTAAAGTTCTGATGAGCAACCATGTGCTTCGCACAGCTGCCTCTTTCTAGAAATGTGTTGTCTCGATGATCTCGTTTTCCACAGAAAAAGTTCTGCAAGGATGTCAGGGAACATTAATAAAGTTGCAATGAATCCAGACAAGACTGAAGCGACATAACTCACAAAGGAAAAGCCTTCACAGAACTGGCTCAGATGCTGTCCCCTTCAGCTAGGAGCATTTTTCTAATGCCACAAAGCAAAGCGCCAAGGACTGTGCCAGACTCATCCTGAGGCTGGATGTCTGAGATCTGCAAGCAACACCATTAGCAAAAGCTTCATGCCTCTCCTTACAAAGAGAAAACCTGGTCATAAAAGATTCTTGCACCAATTTCACTAATTCACTTCTGGAGATGTTAGAGCAGCAAAACATCTGCCATTTGGTGGAGCAGGAACCGCTCCATTCAGTGGGCTGATCTGCACTGGGACTATCATCTTTGTGCTCCAACCCCTTCAAAACCTGCCTGCACTGCTGCCTGCTGAAGGCCTCACTCTGCCTTCATCCACGAGTCTGGAGCTCACGACATCAGACACCTGCTCTGACACCCACAACAAGACAGCTCACAGAACTTAAAAAGGAAAAAAAAAAAAAAAAGATCAATTTGACAAAAGCTTTCCAGGCTTTAGGAATGAACTATTAAAAAATAAACAGATTGATCAATATGGCAAACTCCTTCCAGGCATCTGACTAGCTTGTCCTTAGTGCATCACCACGAGAATCGATGAAATCATACCAACACATCCCCACGTACACCGCAAGCAACTCCTCCTTCAGCCTGAGAAGGGAGCAGTAGACAAACCTCACGCGGCCTTCATTTGGCTCGTATATGTCTGCGTGTGATAGTAATGGGAACTCCCCAAATTATCGTAATCTGGGATACAGATGGAACCCAGGAGTCCTCAAAGTTTTCACTCGCAAGCCCATTCATATGCATATTATGCACAAACTGCACTGCAAAGATTTTCTCTTCCACAGCTGCGAAAGACGACAGCCCTTTCTTTTATTTTGGAACAATTATTTTTAGTTCCAAACTTGCGCATGGAAAGCAGCAGACAAAGAGAAGACCCCAAGGAAGGCAGAAGTTCTCTCTGATGGTCTTCAGTAAATACCAGTGTAGCTGTCTTGCACCTTAACAGCGCCCAGAGGAGGTCCAGGTTGGGATGGGAGCTGGATGAAGAGGCAGAGGTACCACACTTGGACTAAGCATGAAGACAAAAATCTTCCTGACGACATGCTCCCACATACAAACTCATTTTTTCCCCATGATCAGTTACACAGACTCTGCATGATCATAAAGTTTCTGCTGAGTCACTCCACCTGGTCATTGGCTTTTTTTTTTTTTCCCAACTTACAAATAAACAAGGAGCTATAATTAAAGCTTTGGTTCAGCTTTAATTCTAGCATTCACTGCCAATTGTGTCCCCTGTAAATACATATTTAACAGCCTAATTAGCAACCCAGACTGTAAGCAGCTTGAGTGTGGAATTGTGGCTAGGGCCCAAAATAAATGGTGGGATTACAAATAGCAGGCTACCTAACACTCCTACCCTTCTTCACCATACGCTGATTATATTTTCAAAGTGGAAAAACTGGGACATTGGGCAAGAGAATAAAAAGGCTGATCCAAGCGCTGGTTTTGAAGCTATTTCACTGCATTGATTTAAAAATACAAACATTCCTTAAATGCTGTAGTTAAAAATGAAACAGGGCCTGCGGTGGATGCACTGATTCTGTGTAGGTGCCTTCACATTGTTATTCTTATGCCAGAAACGTAGCTAAATCTACCGAAAAGGAAAAAAGGTCTGGGATGGTTACAGGGAAACGGTCTGCCTCAGAAGGATTCATGGGCACGTAGCAGGGAAGCGAGGAGAACTAGGAACCACCTCCTACTTGTTTTCACCTAGCTACTGATTTGTCTTTTATTGATCTTGATCATCCTTGAGAAATGCCCATCACTAAATCACCTGCACTTGCTCCCCAACCAACAGACTACCACGTCGCTTCCCTTCCTTTCCTAGCACTCACCTGCTCTGCCCAGTTCCCACCTTCTCAGAAACACTCTCATCACCCTCTGCTTGAAGCATTCCCTCCCAGCTAACCTCTCCCCCTGTTCCCAGGACTCACAGGTTCCTAAAGCCACATCCCTCCAAGCTCAGAAACCCAACTTGAGGGCTCAGAGCACTCTCCCCTCTCATCCGATACCTTTAGGGCTTAGGAACACCCTTACAGCCTAGTTCAGAAATGCACTTTTTCCTGTTTTGTTGGGAACACCGAAACAGGAGGAGAGCACACTGGGCAACGAGCACAGGAGCAGGCACTATCACCAGGGTTCGCTTCCAGCTCCGTGCATCCAGTCTAGGGTATTTATACTGGGCAGACTGGAGTCCTGCAGGGCTTTCAGCTGCACCACGCAGCACTGCGTTCTGCAGCGTGCCAGCCACGCTCCCCGGCTGTGGCATCAAGGATATGGCTCAGCCTCCGTAAGCTCCCGGTCATTAATCAACCTAGTGATGTTAGCATCTGCACAATTAGGAAATGGAGGTTGCCCGCTAAGGAGATCCTTAGTTTGGGGTCAACCCACTCGTTTGGAAACATCCCCGATTAGAAAGACAACTCAACTCTCCCTGCATCTGCAAATTTCTCCGCTCAGGGACTCCGCAGGGAAGAGGCCAAGATCTCTTCGCTGCGTGAGCCTCTGAAGGGCCGAACACCCCCCCCCCGACCCCATGCAACGTTACGGGCACGGTGTAACCCTGCTCCCCACCTGTATGTCTTGCCATCCTTGTGCTGGTCCTCATCGTCCTCGTTTGACAGCACAAAGGGGTCGCTCATCTCTGGCAGCCCCGACTCCTGCAATCGTTTCTTCTTCCGGCCCCGAGGCGGTTTGGGGGCAACTCCCCCACCCCCGCCACCCCCAGCACCTTCGGAGAGGGTGGTCGTCCCCTTCTTGGCCAGGTCGGGCACCACCTGCAGGGCTGCCTGGGAGCCGGGGGGGAGCGCGGAGACAATCATGGGAGCTGAGATGGGAAAGGTTTGTGCAGAGGTGGCTGTGGTCACCAGGGAACCCGAGGGGGAAGTTATCACCAGCCCAGGACCTGCAAAGAGACCGAGGTGGAAGGCAGGTGTTACATCCCCGATGGCTACCCGACCTCCTCACCCCACAGAAGGGGGCTTTATGCAGTCTACTTTGAAACTCAACGCAAGCAGAAGGGCAAAAAGAGTAGCCCAAAACCTTCCCAGCTGTGGAGACTGGGAATAAGGCTGAGACTGGCTGTGAAACCACGGCAGCCCTCCCCATCACAGATACACAGCACAACCCCCAGCCCAAAAAAGGACCCTCCAGGACTCCCCACCGCCCCTATACCCTGCTTGCAGACATCCCCCCGGAGTCCCCCTACCTGCTGTCATCAGCCCAGCAGACTGCACGGGCACCACGGTGATGTTCTGAGTCACGGGGGCCTGGCTGTGTGGTGTCAGCTGCTCCGGCTTGGTGTCCGAGTCCATGGCGATGCCGGCGGGCAGGGCCACGGAGGTGGGCACCGTCAGCAAGGCGGGGTAGTGGGGGGGAGCCAGGCTGCAGCCCTTCTCCGTGGGCAGTAGCTGCTCCTTCATCTTGTTAATGAACATGGTGTTCTCGATCTGAAAAGGGGGAGAAGGGCCTTGAGGATGCCGTGCCGCAGCTTCTCCCAGCGCCTGGCTGAGCACAAAAGGCAACAGAAGCGTGTATCATGCTCGGGTTTCTCATGGGAAGCAAGGGTTGAAGCAAAGCTCTTACCTGTCCCGAGACGGTGGGCACTGCTGGCCAGAAGTACGGGGAGGAGTTGAAATGAGATTCTTCCATCCTAGCTGGGCACAGGGGGGAAGAGGAAGGGGGAAGGGAAGAGGAATATGGGGGAGAAGGAAGACAGACAGACAGACGCACACACACACACATACACAAAAGGAACATTAAACCCAAAAAGACTCCAACAGGGAACTGACTCAGCCTGATGCTGCGACAGTTCCTTAATCTCCCCGTCCTTCCTTAAGCAACTGCTCCCCGCTTTTGATCTATCTGCCCAAACCGTGTTATTTGCAGAGAAAAAAAAAGATGTCTGCTATTCCCACAGGCTTGGGTCCACCTCAAATGCCTCTTGCCCACCAGTCCTCCATGCAAAAAATAAAAAATAAAAGACTACATCAGACCCCAAGCACCTCTAAAACTCCCCAGTTATCCTCTACCCAAGTACATGCCATAGATGATGAAGTCTGTGCATCTGCGTCCAGGCAAACACAGCTGAAAAACGTTTTTTGCTGCCGCAGACAGCCTGAGCCCACAAGCAGTGCAAGTTTTGGACCCTGCCTGCCCCTCCACCCCAGCTCCCTGAGAACCCAGATGCAGCAAGGGCGCGTTAGCATCGTGTTACACAGGAAGAAGGACAGGCAGAGAGAGGGAAACAGACTTGCCCGAGGTAACAGACAGGCACAGCAGACCGAGAAGTAAAACCTAGGGCTCCTGACTGCCCGTTGCCCTCTGCCCTGACCACTCCTGGGAGAAGCCTGGAGATGTCTCTCAGTATTCCTGGCAGACCACAGCCTCCTCCTTCACCCAGCCAGACACCAGGAGACAGCCTAGCAGGCAAAGTTTGCCCCACTCTGAAAACCCCAAGAAATCCACACAACGGTGTTCTCTGAAGTAGAAGAGGATGCCGATTCCTTAACAAAGATGCCAAAACTGATGGGTAAAACAAAGGCAATAAAACCTCTGCTCAACGAACACCGTGCCTGGCAGAGCGAGCTGCTCAGAGAAACCAAACACCGCAGCCTTCTCGTGCAGCTCTCTGCAAACAGCACCGGCCCGTTCCTGTTGTGATGTGGCAGCAGTCTAATTAGCGAGTAAATATTGCTTCTGAAGGGCCTATCCCCAGCATCAGATAAGCTGAGGAGCGTGCCCCGAGTAGCACGAAGCCCTTACTTTCCAGGAGTGTCTTCGGAGAGAATAAACACACGTGGAATTGCTGCGTGTGAGCCAAAATGCAAAGGCGCTTCTCCTCTGTGTGGAGCAGCAGTATTTAAATGACCCAAATTACCCGTTAATTTGCTTTTTATGAATTGCTCGCGCCAACAGCAAAGCCCAGTCCTCCTGCCTCACCTGCTCACTGCACACCAACCAATAAACCCACTTAAGGATGAATTATTTACCTTGCAGCAGCGGCATGTGGCCCGGCTGCCAGCTGCCTGACCGAGTTACTCTGGATTTACACTGCCGTGATTCGAGCAGGATCCGATGGGGCAGGCAGCTTGGCTTCCTTTAATTTCTTTCCTGAGCCAGATTAATTAAGTGCTCTGCCCACAACGAGGCCCTGCGTATCTAACACTTCAGGACGTGATTGTTTCCTTCCACAGGATGGGCACACACAGAGATAAGGCCTCCCCTCTGTATCACGAGGGATTTTTTTGTGTTTGGGATGTCAAGGGGGGTGTCGTGGTTGTTTTAAATGAGTAAGCCTCTCTTTGCTCAGCTTCCACATCAAAAAATAAATAAGGAAAAAAGACAAACCTAAGTAAACCTGACTTTGCAAAACCAAAGTCTCATGTAATAATCAATTTTGTTTGTCAAATAAACTTTGCAATCGCCCAGTCTCGGATTCCTTGGATTCAGCTGCAAAGTTTAGGACTAAAACAGAAAGATGACAATTTAAACAAGCATCTAACAGCTTTCCTATTCAAAGAGCACAAAGTATGAAAGACAACTCCATCTTCAAACTGTAAAATCCAAGCCAACACAGGCTGGGGCACCCAGTGGCCTCCTGATTCTACCTTGCCCCCTGTCAGAACGCGACAAAGCACCCAACTTTTGTTCACTTTGTTCTGCAAAGTGTTTAAAAATAATAATAAATTAAAACACCAGCACCAAAACAGTTTGTATTAATTCTCCGAAGATGACTACCCTGTTTTCACTAATCTTTCTCAGAATCCGTCCCCCCACCCAGTAGTCTTCATGCTTGAATAGATGTCAGGCCTCAAAAAAAAATCAGCTTGAAAGACTGAAGTGTAACTGAAGTTATAAGAATGTGGAGAAAAAGGAGGAACGGTGTAAGAGTCGAAGCTGTCATGCAATCTCACTGGCAAGCCAATCTTCCAGAGGGAGAAAACAAAGGCGAAGATCCTGGCACCAACCTCCTGTCCTAATGCCCACGGATGTCCCTCCCCTGTCCCGCTGTTAGGCTGAAGGATATTTCGGAAAACATGCACCCCTATCCACAGCCCCCACTTTCCCAGCGCTCACACTTACTTTACCAGCACTCTGCTCGTAACCCTTCCAATTGCTCTACAACTATCACACATGGGCTGGAGCTTCAACCCTGTACCGCAGCATGTTCCCACTGCGGTGCCTTCAGCATCCCAGCTTCCACAAACAGGCCAGAGATGGGACCTTCTTCCTACGCACCAGTCTAGTATCAGACAGATGTCAACGTACCCTCCTGATACAAACCAAAAACACCTTCTATGTACAGACCACAAATTGACATACACCAAACAAACACCCGAGTGCACCAGGGAACTCGCAAGGGGCAAGGAGCCTGAAGCGTGGCTCTCAGAGTATTTCCCAGAGCCGCATACTGAACGTGCTGGGCTTACACTTCTTTGCAGGGTCATCGCTTTAATCGTAAACACAGAGACAAAAGCACGTGCGAGTACACGGCCGGGCACAGGCTGTGTTTCTTGAAGGCACAATCAAGGTTGGGCACGCGGGTATTTACAGACTGAGTTGTAAGGTGGCTTTCTTTATTCTCCATGCGCCTCGTGGTTATTTTCTAGGCAGCTTTCAGCTGATAAAAGGCCCTGAGCGATTTCAGCTGTCATTTTACGCCTGTATGCAAGCAACGAGGAGTAACTGGTGGCTAACAAGGAGCTTTTAGGCTTAACCGCTGCAAAATACTGAGGATGCCCCCAGGGGACGTGGGAACAAACGCCGAAACGCCTCCCTAAGCCCCTAAGCACCACCAAGTCCGAGCCCTGCTGCGCCTGGATGCACACCAGGACCCCCCAGCGCAACACGCGGAGCCCTGAGCCCCCAACCCCGAGCTCGGAGCCGCCTCATGCAGCGCCCCCCCCACCCCCAGCCCGCCCCGTCCCACCCCGTCCCGTGCCCCCTTCCCCCCCCCCCCCCCCAGGGCGAGGCTGACTCAGGGCGCGGCGGGAGCTCCTTACCCCTCTCACTCTCCCTCCTCTCGCATCTCTCCTCCTTCCAGGGCCGGCTCTGCGAACAAACCGCCAGCGTTACGGGGAGGGAGGCGGGGAGGGGAGGGGGGGGGGGTGCGGACAGACGGCCGGCCGGGCAGACAGACGGACAGGCAGGCAGGCAGGCAGGCAGGCAGCCCGCCGCTTCCGCTTCCGGATCGCCTCACGGCCGGAAGCGCGGCCCCGCCGTGCCGCCCCCCCTCACCCTCCTCCTGCCCTCCCCCACCCCGGCCCTCACCCCCCTCCTCCTCCCCCGCCCGCCCCCGCGGCGCCCACCCCGACCCCGGCTCCTCCGGCGGCCTCCTCACCGGAAAGAGGGCAGCGGCCGGGCCGCTTCCGGGGCAGCGCCGAGAGCACTTCCGGGGGCGCGATGGCGTCACGGCCTCTCCTTCCCCCCCCCCGCCCCCCCCCGCTGCGCCCGTTCCGCTCCCCCCCCTCCCCCCCCCCCCTTTCTCCGCGGCGGGGCTGCGGGCGGCCGGGCCGGAAGCGCGCGGGGCCCCACCGGAAGCGCCGTGTGGCGGCGGCGCGCGCGGGGGGCGGCGGTTGGCGGCAGGGCGGAAGTGGCGGTGGCGGGCGGGCGCGCGCGCGCGCGGCGCTTCCCCCCCCCCCCCTCGCTTCAGGCCGGCCGTGAGGGGGCCGCTTCCGGCCCGGGCGGCGGGCCTCATGAATATTCATGAGGGGGTTCATGAATAATGCACTGAGGGTGTGTTGGAATAAAAAGGGTTTTTTTTTTTTTTATTTGGCTGAGTGGTCAGTCCGGGGAGTTGGTTGCACAGAGTCGCACAATCACCAGAGTTAATTGCACAATCGCCCGAGTTAATGACACAATCACCAGATTACATTAATTACAGGCACAGCAGCTAATTACCCAGTCACACAGGACGCCCCCCAGTTCTCCCAGTCCACCCCTGACTGGGGGTCCCTACCCAGCCCCCCGTATCACTAAGCCCTACACCTAACCCCCTTCCACAACCCCCCGTGATGGTGGCTCCACCACCCCCTGGGCAGCCCGACCCACTGCCCCTCAACCCTTTTGGTTAAAAAACTTCCATTTCCTTCCTAATTTGGGGGATCTGACTCGCTGGTGGGTACCCACGCTCATCCCTTTTCCATTTTTCCCTCTGTAATTTGTCTCCGGGGTTGTCAGCTCAGCCCTGAAGGTCTCGTCCCACATCACCACAAACAGTGTCAGTCCTACATCCAGCAAGAGGAGCCTCTTCTTCGCCCCAAAGCCCCCCTCAGCTTCCCTCCTTCCCCTCCCTGTGCTGCCCAAAAGAAATTCAGCTGAACATCTTCTCCTAAGCTCGGCTGCTGGGAGAGCTCGTCAAAACGCCCTACACCAGATCGAGGAGAAGTCATGATTTCCAGCAGAGGAGTGGGACAGGGTGGTTGATTTTCCCAAACTGTGCCCAGAGCGTCACGCTCCCCTCCCCCAGGCACCTTTCAGCAGCACGTGAGGCAGCGTGACTAACATCTGCCACAGGCACTTGATTTCTCTTATCTTCTTCCCTTAGGAGGAGACGAAATAGGAGGAACGGGTCTATCTCTCTGCAGAGGGCACCTGATCTCCTCACCTTCCTTCCTAGCTCAGGTTCACCCGCTCGCACTGCGCAGGCCAGGCTGCTGGGGAGGGGACAGCCGAGAGGGGCTCAGTTTGTTGTGTGGCAGGACGAGAAGCCAGCAGCGATGTAAAAGAGATTGTGAGAGGTAAATGAGCCCCCGAGGGGTGGTGGATGGAGGCCAAGGGGCCTCCCCCCTGGGAGAAGGAGCCGGCGTGCAGCACAGCTAAGCATCGCCTGCCTCTGAGGGACTAGCTCATGACAAGCTCAGAAAAGAAACTGTGTGGAGAAAGCACACCAGCTGAGAAAAAAAAAAAAAAAAAAAAAAAAAAAAAAAAAGCTACCACAGCGGTTGCTCTCTCACAACTTCTGCAGAGAGCTTTTCAAGACAGCTTTGACCCAGGAGGGTAGCAAACACAGCGCTACACGAGCTGCAGGCTCCATCTCCCACCCGTGTTCCCTCCTCCGCAGACACATCTGACTGTCATGTTCCCACCTCAGCTCTTCCCGTCTCCTTCTGCTTGCCTGATTTCTTCATCTCTATCCCGTCTCACCACCCTGACACCAGCCCTAGCCCCGGACCTTCCCTAATGACTACATGCTTGTGGCACCACTCCATACTCTGTGCCCGAACACCTTTTGTCCCCTGTCCGCATATAAGCTGCACCAGTCATGGTGGCCACCCCATTGATACGGGTGGTGCGTGGTGCTGTGGGATCTGCTTGGCTGGCTTGTAGGGCTGGCCCAACACGTTCTCTGATTTGCCCGTCTTGGTGCTTGAGTTTGTGGAGGGTACCTGAACACCAGGCAGAGACAGGCAGATGGGCTTGGGAGGGTGTGATGGTGTAGTGACACCCGTTGTAAGGATGGAGGCTGTTCATTCTTGCCCATATTTTCTTCTGCTTGTGGGACAATATTAAGTTTATCCTGAAGCTGGTATTTTAATCTTGCAAGTACATTTCTCAGCAAGGCACGTTGTCCTTACTCTTTCAAGGAACTGACATCTCTTTGGCAATCGGCTGATTAAATCCCCTGGTAGCGTGCAGCAGGAGAGCATTTCAGCATGTCATTTCTGCCTTTCTTTCCACGGCGTGGAAATAGATTGCATCTCTCCCTCCTTGGTAACTTCTCTATTTAGTGTTGTACGGTCTGAGAAGTACACCGTAACTGAGTTATAACACGTGCATTATCGCATTATACCGCACATGCTTGCTTGTCTGAATCATGTGTTACGCTGGCATCTACTCTCTTAAGGTCAAGGAGCAGAAACCATGCGCCTGGGATGCACTTTGGAACTTGAGGCACACTCAACAGGGATCCACTGCTTTTTTACTGAGAGGTGGCTCTGGAGCTGGGAACAGCAGGATCCCTGTTGGGCAGGAACATGCTAACCTGAGACTCTCCTGGGACTGATCAGCCTTAGCCACAGACTGAGTTTGTTTGGCCACTGTAGTAAGAACAATTAGCTACCACACTTTCTGGCCAACGTGTCGTGAATATGCATCCCATAATTTGGAAGAAGGAAAAGGAATCGCTGGACATACCAAGAAAGCCAGAGGGACTGTGCCTGAGTACCTTCAGCACAGGAGAAAACCCACAATCGCATCAGCAGTGCCTGAGGGGGACCTCAATTGCATGGTCACGGTCAAAACATACCAGGCGTGCTCAGGCAAAACCTGTTCCAGTGGGGTGATAGCTTCTCCGTGGCAATAGCCCCAACAGGCTTAAATCAAAACTGACTTTATTAGATCACCTCAAAAAGTCTTGACAAGTATTTTGAACGTGATCCAGCAGTGAGCCCTTCAAGCAATGACAGATCCCTGCAACCTAGGTTGCATTAGCAAGAGCGCAGCCAGAAGAGGAAGGGAAATTTTTATTCCCATCCACCTGAGAGGTGAGGCCACATCTGGAAGATTACATCGAGGGCTGGGCTGGGGTGCAAGAGGCATATTGACAAACTGCAGCACGCCCAGCAAAAAGGCCCTGAATTGGAAGGTTGGAGCACACAATGTGCAAGGAGAAGGCTGAGGCAGCTGGGTTTGTTCAGAAGAAAAGGCCAAGGGGGCATCCACTTGCTGTCTGCCCCTACCTATAGGAAATTTGTAGAGAAGATGGAGCCAGACTCTGAGGATACACAGTGGAAGGAGAAGAAACAACACACACAAATAGCAACAGGAGAAATTTTGAACATATGTAACAGAAAAATTCTTCGCCTTGAGAGCTGTTGAGCAGTGAAACATGTGCCTTCAAATTCTGGAGAATCTCCACCCTTGGAAATGTTCAAAATGTGTGGGGACAAAGCCCTGAGCAACCTGATCTGGCTTTGTAGTTACCCCACTGTGAGCATGGGATTGGACTAGAGACTTACAGAGGTCCTTTTCCACCTTTTTTTTTTTTTTTTTTTCCGTGAGTCATTGATTTTGATCTGTGCTGCTGGTACGCTGCAAGCAAATGCTCAGTGTCTTCATCATGCTAGAAGCCAGAAGGGTAGCATGCTTGTTGGACCCTGTGGAAATGCATCTATGTCGACAGCAGCGTTAGCATCGGCACAGCCCTGGTGCACAAACATCTCTTTTCCAGCTGGCTTTGTAGCGCTCCTCATGCCACCCCACTTCTGTTCCAAGCACAGGTGAACCTCGTAGCAGCAGGACCTGTTTGGTTTGGGGATGACTTCCTAGGCTGTGACATCCATATTCTGAACAGTAATGCTGCAGAAATGTCATTTAAAACTATATTGCATGAGAGCATGGTCATGCAAGCTTGTCTGACGCGCTCCTCACACCACCTTCAGCACTCACCAAAGTGCTGCTAAAGCATGTCTAGGTCTTTACAGTTGCCTCGTGTCATTTTTCAGTAGGAAGGATGATGCTGAAAAAGACAGGAGAAGGGGATATCAGAGACAGGGGAGAACAGTATGTTTTTGTACCAGGGCAGAAGCAGAACTCCAGAAGCTCTATTGCGTGGAGGCTGGAGCTCACAGGTTCACCTCCATATCTGTATTTTGTTCAAACCTGGCAAGGAAACTGCAGTTTGGGGAGCATAGACTTGCAGTATATCCATCAAATTCAGGGTAAGCATGCCAGGACTGGAAAAAGGGAGCTATATTTCAGGAAGAGAGAAAACAAAGTACTCTGGGCTGCTGCAAGCCCATTAGTCTAGTCTCAATAGAGCATAAGGTTAAGAACAAATTACAGAAGGAAAACAAAATTAAAGCTACAGCAGTAAGTGGAAAACAGCACCAAATACAGAATGGGTTTATCAACACAAGCACTGCGTGCCCTTAACTTGATCTTTTTCTTTACCTCCTTTTTCTTTACCTCCTTTTCATCCTTACCTGGGTGGGAAAAATAAAAAATAAAAAAATTTAAAAAGGTAGATCTAATCTAGCTGAATTTCAGTAAGACACTCACTAGAGTAAAGGATGGAAGGCAGCTAGATGAGCTGAAATGAAAGGAATTGTTAGGGTCATTTTAGGTGGGTGAAACACTGGGGAAAGGGAGATGATGTGTTGAGTCAAATGGGAACTGCTGAACTGCCACCATGGAGGAATGTTACTGGCCTTGGGAATAATTCTGTTTGCAGTAATGGCTCTGGCTCAGCAAAAAAAAAGCAGAGTGAAAAGGAAGTTTGCTGATTAAATGCATTTGGAAGAATTACTCACAGACCGGAACGGAGAAGTGTGAGGTCCTGTTCTTTGCTCCTGCTAACAGGGATTTATTTTATACATGGAGATTCGGTGGTTAGAAATGACAGAGGGTAAAAAACAGATCTGTGTGCATTCATCACTCACGAGGTGATTATGAAGCAATGATGTGACGTGGTCACAAAGACAACAGCCTTAAAGAGATCATTACGTTAATCTTATTGAAGATGGTATATACAATTTGTCACC